CGGGGCCGACTCGACGGCACATAACAACAACAACATTAAGTACTATTTAAACAGTGCAAACACAAGGACTCGGAAGGAAGGTTGGGCAATCCTACTTCCGTAGTGATACTGCCTCGGAAACCCAACCAAGGAGGGGTCGCTATGAGTCAGGGCCGACTCGATGGCACATAACAACAACAACATTAAGTACTAGCTTTGATATTTTGAGATGGTTTCTGTTAATCTCTGTATATAAATGTCTTAATATTTTTAGACTAGAATAGCAACTATTCTTCGTTCTTAAGTCCTCTGAATGGTAATCTCTGCCATTTAGCAATTTGAGTGTTCATGACCTCTACATGTGCATTCTAAAGGCACATGTTTACATTGAGTCCATCTCAATTTAGCTTGCCAGGATATAATTTTTTTCTTCCTAAATTAGATTGTAATCTTCCAGCACAGACACTTACTTCCTCTAAATTTTGGCTAGAGATGGCTTATTCCATAGCCATGTTATCTTGATCTTCTACCTCCTGCTTCCGTTGCACTTTTCACCAATGCTCCCAAGCTGACTGTGAAGCTTATTAGAGGAGACTCACCAAACCTGCTTAGCTGAAATATCACAAGATGAAACTTCTTCACTGGTTTTTAAAAGGGAATAAAAAAAGAGGAAAAGAAAATAGAATTTCTCAAAAAGTATATCTCAATATTTTAATGAGAAATCACTTCAAAATGCCCAATAGAATTGTTTTAACATATCTGTAAAGGAGTGGCCAAATTTTACATCGCCTTCCTTGGTGATAGAAAAACCAAGTTTTTTCAGGTAAGACAAAGTGTTAAGGAAATTTAACTGCCATAAGCAAACCAAAACAATTGCCATTGAGTAAATTTCAACTCACAGTAACCCTTTATAGAATGTAAAGTTGTGACTCTTAAAACAAACAAACAAAAAGAAGCTCACTGCCATTGAGTCGATTCTGACTCATAGTGACACCTCCTTGGGTTTCTGAGGTGATATCTCTACTGAAATAGATTACCCAGTGTTCCTTCTGAGGAGTGGCTGGTGGGTTTGAACCACCAGCTTTCTGGTTAGCAGTCAAATGCATTAGATACTACACCACCAGAGCTCCTTAGTTAACCAAAAAAGTAATTCATTATAAAGAAAATTGTGTCACGGAAAGTTTGAAGACATACAGCATGCTCAGAAAATTTTCAGGAGAAGAAAAAGTAGAAATATGGAAGCAGGCAAATAAATATGCTCAATTCTACAAGGCCCTAGCACCACAGGTGTTTGAAGATGAACATCTTCATGTGGTCTTCTGCATATTTGCAAAATTATCACTTCATGTTGTACTTTTATGCAATAAAAATAGCATTTGTTCTGATTATATAAATAACACATGCTTAATACCTTAAAAAACCTCATCAATAACAAAAAGCATATGAAAGAATTTCACACATAATTTCCATTTAGTTACCTTTACTGAATAGTAAATGATTTTCTGGTTTTATCTGGATTTTCATATTTGCTTTGCTTCTTCCTCAGGTATGATGTTGCCATCTTTGACCTCATCTGTGTATTTCTTTGTGTTTTTGGGTCTATGCACCTGGTGGTCTTGGTGCCGGACTTTTGACCCATTGCTCTTCAGCTGTCTATGTGTTCTGCTGGCTATTTTCACTGCTGGACACTTGATTGGGCTTTACTTATACCAGTTCCAATTCTTTCAAGAAGCAGTTCCACCCAGTGACTACTATGCAAGGTAAGAAAAATATTTAGGACATTTCAACAAGAGACCTCCCCTGCTCCAAGCCCTATTTTATGATCTTTATTTGGGATAGTGAATTGGCAGGTGTTATTCTTGATGGGAATTCATGTGTAATGCAAAGAAAAAGTAAAACTCCTCCTCAGAGGGAGATATTGCTGGATCCAGAGAAGGAGGGTACCTATCGTTTGAAGCAAGTAGGACAGGCTGTGAAAAAGGATCCAAGAAGTTAATCACACATAAGTGAATAATAAGGATGTCAAATAAATGTAGCTAGAAGGAACACTCAGGAGCCATTAAATATAGAACAAATTGAGCATCAAAATAATAATAATAACTAATTGATTTTAAAAATATTTTAAACAAAAATATAGTCTAGAGAGAGAGAGTATGTGTGGGATATATCTAATATCTAATTTTCCTTGATTGGAAATGACTATGACACCAATTCTTTATAGTGCAAATGGAAATTAAAATGAAAGAATTCATAATTTACTGACTTTTTAGAGGGAACTCTAGGAATCTCAGTTGATGAGGAAAAATCTTTACATAAAATAATCTAGCTAATAGAATTAGAAAATTACCATTTTTCAATCCTTAATGAAATACTTGATTCTAGTCACAACCTGAAACCATTGCTATAAAAAGGTTGTTGGGATACAGGATGATTGCACAATGACAAAATCCAACTCACTGATTATTTCCTAACTGCAATGGAAAATCATACCTTGACAATGGTCAATGCCTTAATCAATTTATCAAAATTAGCATTACTAAAATGGAGTAACTTGACACTTCATATCTCTTGATACGATGCACTATGAGATGTACAACAGCATATTGGTAAGCCTTGAGGCCTAGCATTCAGTTTACAGAAAACTATAAGGGATTGAAAAATAGTTTCAATGGCTCCAGAGAAATCCAGAAAGTAAATCCTTTAAGGTGACTGATCTACTCTCTTCAAGAATCAGTGTCATGAAAAAGAGTGTGCATTGTAGTTGGAGGGGGGTGGATAGAAGATGGAGAGACAAAAATTGTTGTAGTTTAAAGGGAACTAAAAGAAACATAATAAGCCAAGGTAAAGCATTTAACTGCTAACCAGAAGACTAGTGGTCCAAACCCACCAGCTACTCCTCAGAAGGATGATTGGGCAATCTACTTT